ATGGTCATGGTGTCTCTTCTCAGCAACAGAAACCAGAACTAAGACACTTCCACTATCTCCTTGCTCATGGAATATGCAGCCTTACTGTGCTCTGTTACCTCCATAAACTGAAGCTTATGATGGCAACTTCTCTCAGCTCCCGGGGCGGGGGGGGGGGGGCAGAAACACCTGCCAAGCATTCAGCTCCGTGGCACCTGCCATGTACTCAGTGCTCAGTAAGTGTATGTTTGAATGATTTTATAACCATTAAAAGCACAAGCACAGGCTCCTTGTACCAAAACAACGAGCACACTTGAGTAGACACACACACACACTCACACAATTTGGTGGTAAATATAACTATGTAAGTGAATCCCGTCATTGCTGTTTGGCTGAAGTTTCTGCATTGTAGGTACATGGTGCACAAACCAGGACCTGGCAGCATTTTCAAGAAATGAACATGATGCAGTAAACATCAGTCATCCCCAAATGATGGGTTGAGTTTTTAAGAGTCCCTGTTTCTCTAACACACCTGGGAACATAATCTCAGCCCTGAGTTTATGTCTGCAATTCGCTCAGAAGACTTTAAATAGCCTAGTTTTCTGGAACATGTAGGAAGTAATGAGAAATGGATTCTTAGATCAAGTGTCCCCACACATCAGCAGGCATCATTTAAATGCCATTCAATGGAACAGGTATTTAGCAAGGCGAATTTTGGTTAAGTGCTGTGCCAGTGGCACCCAGGTGATGCTCTGCTTATTGGGAGAATGGCAGGGTGTCCTGTGAGACCAGGGATTCTCCCTGTCATGGACCTTTTCCCTCTGTTCTCCTTCCTCCAGAAGTAACACTGGGCACAACTGTAAGGCTATAGAGATGACTCAGTGGGCGAAGTGCTTGCTACTCAAATATAAGAACCCGAGTTCGAATCCCTAGGACTCACATACAAAATCCTGATGAGGTGGTGCACATCTGTAATCATAGCACGCCTATGAAAAGATGGAGGCAGAGACTCGCCCTGCTGTCAAAACCACATGCCTCATGCAAGGTGGAAAGAGCGCTAGCCCCTGAAGGTTGTCCTCTGAGTGCCACACGTGTGCACACAGCATGTACAAGAAGGTCCCACACAAGGCCTGAGCATGGGATGAGAAGCCTGCATTCCAAGAGGCACAACTGTGGACAGGACAATGAGTTGAGTTTGTGGAGGATGGCAGGTTTTCTAGAAAGACAATGCTTACTCGTCAAATGCAAAGTTAACCAATGCAGCTCTCGTGATGTCGCCCCATCCCTGGAGTGCTTCTGTGATAAATTTGGACAAGCATAGCCTAGTTAGCTATGCAGGCACATCTGGGTCCTATCGTGGGGGATGGCACCCACGGAACTGCAATGTGCCAGTGGGTTCCATTCTTGCTGCCAAGCAAGAGTCACCTCTGGATACTGCCCACAGCTGCCTGGAATGGATTCCAGATCCCTGCGTGTGAAGAGGGGAACCCCACAGGTATCTGTGACACATGTCTCTGAAAGACTTCAGACAGACACAGCTCAGAGATAGACTGTGGAGTTCCCAGTGACTTGTGGCCTAAGGGGAAGATTTCCTTAGGTTCGTACAGAGAAGGCTTTTGGGGTGGCTGCTCTGGAGGAGCCAGTTCTGTAGGCACCAATAGCTATGGGAGAAAATCACTATGCATAGCTCTTCGAATCACGTGACCTAATAATCCCCACTTGGCACTGTACAGCAGTGGCATCTCTGAGAGAGGAAGAAGAAGCCTCAGTGTGAGGGAACCCGCTGGGTGGATGTTTCCAGGCCCCGGGAGTACCCGAGGGATGTGTGCAAGGCACTGAGCACCACTGCATATCCTGGGCTTCACGGCTCCCATCAGATTCTCAAGTAAGGCCACAGCCCAGACATGTTTGGGACTTGCCTGTTGCCTTCCAGCAGGATAAACTGAGATAGACCAGAAAAAACAGATGGAAGAGAAAACCATCCACCATCCACAAAACCAACCGAAGACGCCAGGCCAGGATCCTGACTGGTGGTGCGTGGGAGAGGGCGTTGTGAGCATGCGAGGAATGAGAGGTTCACAAAAGGAAAGCCACGTCGATTCAGTATTCAAACCAGAGTTCCTGCTCGGCCAGAGGTCAAGCTAGAACTCCAATAAAGTACAGAAATTCTATTAAAAAAAACTTGTATTTACATTTGCAAAGAAGACTCAACAGTGAGGTTTAAAAAAAATAGAAAGAGCCAGGGACAGCCACAGATAATTCACAGAGCACACTGCTAGAGCCATGCCACGGAGCTCACTGATAGGATCTCACAATGGCAGTTCTGGACTTGAGCAGCAACACGTTTAGAGCTCGAAACTGACAAGGATACAAGTGTTTAGAACAGAGAAATTAACGGAGAGTCAAAGCTTTTTTCCCTATAAAGAGCTGCTAGATATAAACTAGTTTGTTAGCAGCAATAAAGGAAAAGGGAAATGAGGTTGTGGCAAAATGGAATAAGCATAGCTTACCTTATTCCTTTTAGTACTTGCATAAAAAGATCATCAAGCAATTGATATAATTTGAAAATTAGAGAAAAAGACTACCTGGTGAACTCTAGACTCAAGGAACTACCCAGCGGTGGGTCTAGGTGTGCACGCTAGAGCCTCAGTCAGGACATATAAAAGGAGCAACAAGAAATAAGTATATACAATCTAGAAATAACTAAATGGCACCAAAGAAATAAAAAGAAACTGAAGAAAGTCTCTCCTCTGTAGGGATAAGCCTGAGAAGAAGGATGTCTAGAAAAACGATTATTTTGACTATATATGGTTTTATTCCTGCTCAATCCAAAGGAATCCCACCTCTACCCCCATCCCCCACAAATGATTTGTGACATTTCTTTCCTGGACCAGAGACTGTGCACAGAACTCTTGGTGGATTTCTTACCACTGCAGAGTCTAGATGAAATGGAATAGAAGGACGCCCCCCCCCCCCCCAACAAAGTCAACCTAAAATTCTATACCCAGCAAAACTATCTTTCCTGGATGAAAAAGACATCCTTAGACACAGGGGTGCTAGTAATATGTCAACAATAGTAGGCTTGCTTAACAGATACACAGCGAATGGAAGTCCTTCAGGCAGAAAAGAAATGATGGGATGCAGAACATCAGGAAGGGGGAAGAGCTGAAAAGATCAATATATGAGCACATATAATCAGCTTCTCATTGGTTTACAAACATCTGTTTGACTGAAAACAAAAATTCCATTCCAATTGGCTCTTGATGCCCATAACGGTCACCTAAAATATATTATATGTACACAAGTGTCCAAGTGTATGTGCACCATGTGCAAGCCTGCAGAAGTCATGTGGGTTCTGGAAATTGAGCCCAGGTCCTCTGCAAAAGCAGTACGTGTTCTTAACCTCTGAGGCATTTTTCTAGCTTCAAAGGCATGATTTAAGTCATCCACTATTTAAAAATGAGGTCAGTGAGGCCTAAAGGCTGGGAATTCTACATTTCTCCTGAAGCAATCAAATACTGGGATAAAGATGGATTCATTTTCAGAGAGCTGTTTTTTTTTTTTTCCCCCATCAAGGCCAATTTTAACCCTCAGGAGACAGCAATAATGAAAACACGATTCCAAGTGTAATTGTCGATTGAGAGAGAGGTCAGTGCTGCTGAGCCTCCCACAAAAGCCCAAGGAAATCCCACACAACACCCAGCCCCAAATTTCAAAATGCAGAGGAGACAACACTTTGGATAAATGAACCTCAAATACTAAGAAATGTTTAAATCAAAACAGAAACTGATGGCTCAGGGACACTTCAGTACCCCTCTCAGGAGATGACTGAACTGCTGGATGGACAGAAAAAGGAGATGTTGCAGCTTACCTATCAAATAAGCAAAGCTTTGAAACACCAACCTTTGTCTTTCTCATCATGACCTCACTGGTACCAATACAAGAGCATGCAATACTCTAACCAAACATTTAACTTTGTCCGACCACTTGAAGATTTGTGTTTTCAATCTGATATTTCACTTGAATCTTCCCTAAAGGAACTCCAAATGCATCTGTCTAGATCTTCCAAATGAGAGCTGTTTATAAAGCAAAAGTCACAGCAATCAACCATATCCACTAACTCACCGGTCCTTCAAAAGCTAATCTACATCCAAGTGGCATGCTGCTGCTTAAAGAACACTTTATAGGCTCTGCAATGACAAGGTATATAGAAACAACTTTGCAGCAGAATCACAGGCTGTAAAGCTATGTGCACAGAGAATAACCTCAATGATGCTAAAGACGTAATTATACATATATAAAAATAATCCCACAGGAAACTATAACAATAGCATTTAAAAACAATTCTGTTTCATTATTCGAGTTGCCAACAGTACCCATTACTAGTCTCAGAATATTTCACTTGAAATCCCAGCTTCTTCAGCTGTGTGCCATTAACTCAATATGCAGCAACCGGAAGCTATTTTAAAGCCAAATGCGCACTGAACCTATGGTGGTCTGGCAGCGCTGGCCTGTGTCGCATCCCATGACTTCACTGCAGCCTCAGTTTTGAACATGCGATGCAAAAGATCACACTATACACCACCGACAAACACTGCCAAGAGTGCCTCGGCTCAGATTTAAGAGTGTTAGGAATTGCCATGCTTCTGTTGTACACAGAAGGTTCTCTGCTCCCCCAGAACAAAGACCTAATTAGAGAAAACACAGATTTTTAATATTTTCCTATCATTTCTTACCTATATACCCAGAGTCCTGTGAAAATTCCTCCAGGTAAAAAGCCTTCACGGTAGAAAAAGTTTAAATCCTGGCTTAGATGATAAATTGCATGGGCATGGAAACAATTCTGAATACTTTAAAAATTACTGTAGGCATTGTATGTGGGTTATCTCTATTAACCATCTGATTAGCTGAATTCCATTTCATAAATCAGTATGTTAAACAATTTGTCCAAGTTTACATGTTAGCGACTAGCAGAGCCTGGATTTGAACTGCATCCTACCCCATTAGCACGGGAGGCATACCTGGGCCTGCCTGAGTGCAGGATTGGCAGGCAGGGGCCTGGCAGGGCCGCTAGGTGCGCGTGGGGCCTGGTGGAGAGGTGGGAGCACTCGCCGAGGTGACTGGGGATGAGGGACGGCTCGAGTGTTGAGGGGCCTGCTGATGTCAATCTTCTGGCTTTGCAGTAATGGCCTGTCCTGCATGGTCAAAGTAGAGAGTCAGTTCTGATGGACTTCACTCCCTGAGGAAAGAACAACCTTAACTAGTCTACGACCAGTGGGGAGGGGAAGTCCACGGTGTCCATATGAAGGACTGTATTTATTTATTTACACCTCAAAATTCTAAAGGAAGCATCCCTTACATCTGAAATGGAGAGATGATTTTTATATAGATTAAAACAAACAAACAAGCAAACATTAAGAACCAAACTGGTGACAGTAGCATTTGGAAGGCTGAGGTAGGAGGACTGAGAATTTGAAGCTAGTGTTTGTTAAATAGAAGATTCTACCTCAATCGATCGATCGACCAATCTTCAAGCTGGTTTAAGTAACAAACAGATGAAATAACCTGAAGTACCAAGTATGAAGACACAGACTGGATCATGAGAACATGAAGGAGGAGGCATGGGCTCAGTGTGCATACGCTAAGGGTAATGCGAGAACTACCTGCCCCGGAGGTGAGGTGCTCATCTCTGGACAAGCTTCCCTCGTGTTCGGAAGGAGGACCAGAGCAGGTGCAGCATGACCTGGCACCCCATATTCTTTCTTTTTATAAATAACTTTACTGAGGTATGATTGATACCCAGTTAATTCAATTAAGTGATTGTTTTTCTTTACTCGGCTTTTTTTTTTTTTAAACCTATCCATGTTTATGTGATTTGAACCGAAGATGCTTTTCCTGTACTGGGATTATAGGTATGGGCCACTATGCCTGGATTGACTGATGTTCATACCCATGGAACTATTATAGCAATTATGACAAGGTCTTTATCACCCAAAAGAGCTTCCTTGCCACTTTTGCCTCTGTACCGCCCTTCCCCTCCCCCCCAGACCTTGGCATCCTCTTTGTAGCATTCTAAATGGGTTTTTATGTTTTAAAGTTGCATAGAAATGGCACTGTAGAGTCTCTGCTCCTTTTCTGCCTGGGTTCTCTGGCTGGGAATGGCTACTTTGAGCTTTACCCCCGAGGTCATGCGAGTCGGTGGCTGGCTCTGCCTTCTTGCTGAGTAGCAACCACTGTGTAATATGCCACTGTTAATCCTTTCACCTGCTGATAGACCTTTGGGTCATTTCCAGTGTTTAGATCTTGCTTTTGGTTCCCATAAAACACACCTTTGTAGCTGGCGGGTCCAGGTTTGGAGACGAAGGGAGGCACATTTACTGGGAGCGATGGCTTCCCATTTAGAAGCCCAACCTCTACTTTTTAGACCAAGAGAAGTAAAACAGTGCATTGCCTGCTGCATTGGTGATAATATTCTTTTCAGTTATTTCTCATGTTGTGGCACCTATCTTGTTCCCTGTTTTAATTTGTCTGAGTTTGCCTCAGTCAGACATTGCTTTGCTATGACAGAGTGCCTGGATGAGCGGCTTAGTAAGGCGAAATTAATGGCTTCAGAGGTTCAGTCCACAGTTGCCTGGCCCCATGCCCTTAGGTAGAACAGCAGGATAGAAGTGTGTGCAGAACCATTGGATGGACAGGTAAAGGAAGGGAGGAAGTGACAGGGGACCAGTACAGCCTTCAAATCCCCTCTTCCTGCCTTGGGACTGACCTCCTTCCAGGAGGGTTGACTTCCTGAAGTTTCCCCCACATCAGCAAATGGCATCACCACCCAGAGGCCAGTGCTGAACTCATATCCAAACCATAATGGAGTTCAATATTTAAGAATTCTTGTGGATAAGCAAAACAGTGAGGCATCGGGCAAACACTGGATACCCAAGGACAAGGATATAGCTTTTTAAAAGAATGGAGTAGGCATGGATTCCACAGTTCTCAGCAACACTTAGGTCAGCAGAACTTAGACCCAGGCCAGAAAGCTCACCTAGGCACAGCTGGTGACCCCTGGAAACAGGAGTCTGCTCTGGCTGCATTCCCACTGTGGCTGCTGAGAGCCTGGCAGGTCTAGATCACTGCAGAGATTGACTTGGTTTTTATCCAAACACAACACAATATGGGGACATTGATTGCCTTATGAGAACCTTTTAGGGACCTCAGATGATTCCTCTGGGGACTGTCTCTGGGCCCTGACCATTACAGGGGCAGTGAGGTATGGCTGAACCAAGTGTGCTGACTAAACATTTCACAGGCATGATGGAGCCCTGTTTTCCCAGGCAACCTTGTTATGTAAAACTCCATGCCTTTACAGGACAATACGTCCTTGTGTGACCTACCTTGGGGGTGTTGGGATGTGGTGGCCGGCTCATCAGCAGGCCTTTTCCGAGGGTGGGGTGAGCCTGGCCAAGGTGAGAACCACTGGGTGTCCGAGAAGGGTGCACACACCTGTAAGGCAACCCAACATTTGCTAAGCAAGGGTTAGTCCTCCTTGCTACAATTCCTCATATCCTGTTCCTGCTGATGTGTGTGTGTGTGTGTGTGTCTGTATCTATATATCTCCATGGCCAATCATGCAGGGGGAAAAAAGCTCTAACATGCCTATGAGTTGAACATGAATGCTAACCTCTGCTCTCCGACCACTGGCCTATCAAACTAGCTAACCGAAGATCATAGAGACTTAGCTGGGGGTGCACAGGGGCTGTTTCTCATGAAGCTGGCCTTTCAGCAATAGTCTCTCAGCACATTGGGGCCCAAAGCCCTGCCATCTGAGGAACACATTCCAGGGTCCACATGCCTTGTTAAAAATGCTAACGCAAAGATGAGAGCAGACCCATCCATGGAATTCACCAGCACCCTGCTTATTTATGTAATGGACGGCACAGGGTTTGAAGGGAGAGTCAAAGAGACAGCTGGCCCGGCAGACATTTACAAAAGCCAAACAAACCAAATCAACCCAAAGACCCAGTGTTACTATCCAGAAAATCTGCCTCCCTCCCTGGCTGAGGGTGACGCGGCGAGAAGCCATCGTATCTTGAGAGGACATACCTCAGCTTTTCTATGGTGGTTTTCTTATGTGTGAACAGCAGACGCATCAAGGTCTTCCTTTTGAGATACACCACACATCCAGCGGCCAGCAGACACAGGATGCTCACCAGGATCCCTACAGTCAAGCCCTGGTTATCTGAAACAAAACACATTTGGCTCAGGGGAGGAGGCCGTTCCAATAAAATACAGAAGACATCGCACTGTGACATTTATGGCAGAGCAAGCTCTAAAGGAACAAACAGAACCACTGCACGTAAATCCCTGAATGACATCCTAATAAATTAGTCTCTCTTCAAAGGTCGTGCTGGAGTTCTGGTCCATGCCACCATTATTCATCTGTGACAGCTGAGAACTTGCTAGTGCAGGGACATGGTCTGGTAGGTGGGACCCTGGTTGGACCACACAGATTCCGCTAGGCAGAGTGGACTCTGGAGCCACACAAAGTAGCAGGGGACCATCTTATCAGGATTGGGGGCTCCCCAAAGGTCGTCTTCGACCCCTCCCCACATCTCCTTGATTCTAGGCTGCTTTCACACTCCAGTTGGAATTTACTTTTATCTGTCATCCCTTTATCTGTTCTTGATTGAGACTTCATCTTGGGGCATCTCAAATTAGAGAACGAGAAAAGAAAAAAAAAACCCAGCACCCTAAATGAAGTTACCCTGGATTTGGTTTCTGTCTGTTAAGGACTTAATACTGCCTTTGGGGGCAAGCTCCTTATTGTTGGGAGAATGCCCGTGTATGCTTCATGAAATTTTACCTGTGGGGCTGAGGCTGCGCCCGTAGCTCAGTTCATAGAGTGTATAGCTAACGTTTAGGAAGCTCTAAGTTTGATCTCCAGAACCCCACAAACCAGATGTGATGGTGCACACACCTGTGATCCTAGCACTTGGGAAGTAGAGGCAGGAGGATTAAAAGCTCCAGGCTATCCTTGGCTACAGAGCAAATTTCAAGCTAGTTTGAGATTTAAAAAAAAAATAGTATTTTTTTCCTTTTGTAATTTGATGCCGTTTTATTTAGCACATGTGAGTAGGAGAACACGTAATCCATCAGGCTACCTCCTGACTGCAGCGATAGCCAGAGGCAATCTGGGAGGTGCTAGGAATCACAGGAGGCTTCCTTGGAAGCTCATCAGAACGGTGAAGTCCTGGGGAACAGGGAGCCCTTAACTAGCCTGTATGTCGACCAGGGATGTTCAGGTCGAGTTGCATACCCTAGGTGTTCAACAGTCCCTGTAGACTGTTGGGGAGCAAGATTTACCCTCTTCCTGTCTCCCTTCAGCACTCAGTTACTGCTAATCCAAGTAGCAGCTGCCCCAGCTCTGGGCACAATGTCTTGGCACCCACCCTGTTCTGTACTTTGTCCTCAACCAATGAGTCCTATGGGGTCTACCAGTACTGTCTTCCTCCAGCCATCTGCATGTCTGGAAGGGTACCGTTGCTGGGTTCTTGTCAACTGGCATTCCTCCTAGGCTTAGTAGCAGCCCTGAGCTTCAGCTAAACTCTGTTGCCTCATCTAAGTAAAAAATGACCAGCAAGAATCTCAAGAGGGAATTTTCAATCCCTTGCATCAACCTTACATCTTAAAGTGATCCAATCAAAGTCCTGCCAGACCCTTAAGTGGCATCAGAATTGCCTGTTGCCATAGATAGCAGTACCATCTGCTGAGCTGTCCAGCCAGTGTTCCAGGAAGTATCATGACTCTACTGTCCAATCTGTATCCTGGGAGTTGTGACTGTTATCCTGTCCTGCCTCACCCTGTCCCCAGGCCTTGGCACAGCCAGTTCTCTGTATTTGCAATCTCTCTATAGATGACTCTTTTCTGAGACAGGGTCTCATAGAGTCCAGGATGGCCTGGAATTTGCTATGTAGCCTAGGATAGCCTTGAACTCCTGATCCTCCTGGCTCTCTATATTCCCACTGCTAGGATGACAGGTATGTCATTCTGGGGATTAAATTTAGAGCAGTGGTTCTCAACCTTCCCAAGGCTACATGTCCTTACTACAGTTCCTCATAATTGTGGTGACCCCAAGCCATAAAATTATTTTCACTGCCTCATAACTGTAATTTGCTATTGTTATGAATCATAATGTAAATATCTGATCTACAGATGTTCTTTTTTATTTTTAAAACAATCTTATTTTACATATCAATTCCAGTTCCCTCTCCCTCCCTTCCTCCTGCTTCCCCCACTCCCATCTACTCCTTAGAGAGTCAACGAAGGCTGTCACATCATGGGAGGCAGGACCAAGGCCCTCCCTGCTGTATCTAGGCTGAGGAAGGTATCCCTCCATAGGGAATGGGCTCCAAAGAGCCAGGTCAAGCACTAGGAATTGCAGATGTTCTTAGGTGAGCTCCACGAAAGGGTCACTCAAACCCAAAGGGTCATGACCCACTGAGCTAGGGCCTCATGCACCCTAGATAAACACCCAATTGACTAGGCTCCAACCTTAGCCCTCTCAGGGATTTTCTTATCTCTGCTTCTCCAATGCTGGGATTGCAAACATGCACTATCACGCTCAACTTCTCCTGTGGGTTCTGTGGATCCACACTCAAGTATAAGTGGCTGGCACTTTAGCAGCTGAGCCTTCTCTAGTGGTGACCATTCTCTTTATTAAGAGGTAGCTGTCATACTTTTGCTGTTCTTGTTTGTCCCCCCCCCCCCCCCCCCCCCCGTGCTATCACTCCTCTGTCCAGAGTTTTAAAATGCTCTGGGTGGCAGCACACAAAAGCAACCCTTTACAAAATCCTTCGATATGCCAGTGACATTCATACGCACTTGGTAGTGCACTGTGGCCATTGCCTTAGCTGGGAAAAGTGCCACAGGGAGAGAAAATGGCCAACACAATGCCTTACCTGCATTGAGGGGGAGCCAGCATTTAGAACCTGAAAGGTTCAGGCTGGGCCAGAGGCACTCAGAGTCCTATTGTGGGGACCCCTGCCCAGTACCCACGGCCTTAAGCAGCTCAGCATCCCCTCCCAGCGATGCCGAGGCTCCACTCACCTGCTTGCCGGATGGGCCCACTATCTGTGCTTCCTCCAAAACCAAACTTGTCACAGAAGGGAGGGGCCCAGTGGGCCTCACAGTGGCAGTTCTTCCTGTTGTTACACACCTTTGGGGCAGAAGGGGAGAAAAACATCCAGAGGGGACAGAGTCAGGACACACAAGACCAGGGTACTCTGCCAGATCCCCTCAGCAACACATGTAGACTCGGTAAATGCGAGACCGAGAGACAGCATCGCACCAGTGGAGAGGAGAATGCTCAGGAGCTGCTGTTGACAGCCGGCTCCCCTTTCCTGGTCTCCCCAGGAAAGCTGTGGAGCTGCCCTTCTCGGTGGTTAGGGGAACCCACTTAGGGACACAGAATCAGAAGACCATGCATAAATTTGTCTTCTCTGGGAGGCTCAGGGAGGATTCAGCAGTCTGGGGTGGGGAAGTAGGTCTGCAGCTGGACCTCTTATTTCTGATGCCCATGGAAGTGTGCAGGGGTCTGGCAACATTCCTGGGAGTCCACTGTTGTTCCCAAATGCCCGTTCTTTCGTTCTTTCTCTCAGCCCCTTGTGGCTATTACCTGGCTCCCTGTCACAATATATGATAGGCAAAGACAGCGGAAGTGTTCCTTGCGAAGAAGATGGCAGGAAAGGGTGCCTTTGCCCTTGTTGGTCCTGTTCATCTACTCGCCAAGGGTCACCCACAGTGGTTCCTCTGCTTGGATCCACTGTTGATGTTTACATAGCTCACCAAACTGGATATAAACCAATTGATCTTGAGTGTGAAAAACGGAAGATTTTCTTTCTTTTTTTTTTGCGACAGGGTCTCATGCATTCCAGGCTGGCTTTGAACTAGCTATATGGGTAAGAGTGGCTTTGAATTTCTGAGTCTCCTGCCTCCACCTTCTGAGTGCTGAGAGATTCTAGGTGTGCCTCACCATCCCTAGTTTATGAGGTATTGGAGATCAAACTCAGAGCTTTGCACATGCTCAGTAAACACTCCACCAACTGAGCTACAAGCTACATGGCTTGTTTTCTGAAAAGGAGGCTAAGCTTTGGGAACATTGAACATAAGTCCACCTGACAGTTTAGGGAGAGGCAGGACAGTGGTAGGATGACTGGGGAGAGCTGCCCAGATCAAGGACTGTGAGCCCATATGACTGTCTGGTATCTGCATTTCCCTTCCATCTAAACACTGCAAATTATAGGCGATGAATTTCTTGGTGGCTCGCTTGTTGTGTGGAAGTCAGTGGAACTGGTAAACAACTCTAGGGCCTGCATAAAAACACTGGGGTCAAATATGCCTGAGTATTTGAAGGCAAACAAAACATTTGCAGCCTGTGTTTTGCTTGTAATGGTTCCCTGCTCTAACTGGCTTCTGTGAAGGATCCAAGCACTTGTCTAGTTGCTTCCTCTGTGGAGACAAACAGTCAATGGAGCCTGCGGGAAGCAGGGATGTTTTCTAGGACACTCCTGTTAATCAGGGTTTTTTCTTTTGCAGAGCACCTGTGGCCACCGAGTTGCAGAGTTCTTTCTAAGGGTTGTAAGGAATGGATTAACGCAATTCTTTTGTTTTAGTGATGAGGCAAGGCTCACATGGCAGGGTTGTATATCCACCATAAGCTGGGCTGGTCGAAAGCGAGTGGGACAGACTGCTCTCTAGTGTCTGTGGTACTTCCTCGATACCTGGCAAAGGTGCTGCAGCTGGCAGACCACCCAGGAGACTCACACCCTGCCTGGTGTGGGTGATCTTAGCTTGAGGCAGGAATTTGCAGTCCAGATTCCCTACTTGGAGTTACTAGTGGTGAGCCTGGTCTCATCATAGAGGGATTGGGTCAGCTACCTGTAGTAAAATGTCTTAGTTTCTTTTGGATGCTGTAATAAAATACCCTGAAACAATAAACTTGAAGAAGAAAGAGTTAATTTTGGCTCACAGTCCCAAGTGCACCATGGATGGGAGTCATGGAGACAGGAGCTTGAAACAGGTGCTCACATCATGTGCACAGTCAAGAATTTGAGAGCCATGAATTCTGTGCTCAGCTCACTTTCTCCTTTTTATATAGTCTAGAATCCCAGCCCAGGGAATGATGCTACCCACACTGGGCATGGTTTCCACCTCAGTTAACCTAGGAAGGTAATCTTCCACAGGTATGCCCATAGGTCCATCTTCCAGGTGACTCTAGATCTCACAAAGTTCACAATTGAGATGAACTACCACACAGAACTGTAGCTGGCTATTCCAAATCAGCATGTCCCCACAGGTCTCACAAAGACAGGCCTCTGCCCTACTTTCTCTGAGCGAGCAAGGTAACTATGGACACTTCCTCACTATCACACTGGCCTTGGCATCATCGTGAAAACGAAAGGGCCAGGCTTGTTCATCTACTGCCATTAGAGAGGAATCTATAATCCAATGAAGACATGAAGAGATTCCGTTTGATACTGAGTCAGCTGAACAGAACATCAACGTGCCTGTCTGAGGCGGCCCGGCAATCTGTCATGGTTACAGCATGGTGGTGATTTTGCAAAGACCTCCATAATCCCAAGTGTCTAGATAGTCTAAAAATACAATTTAGAGCCTGGTTTATGTAGAAAAGCTCCAGGAGGACAAATGAGCCACTGGTGCAACTAATCAAGATTAATATAATCCCACTGGAAAAAAAAATGAACTGCATCAGGAAAACGAAATTGCGTTGTAAACAATTAGAGTCCTTTTCTTCCCTAAAGCTTCTCAGAACTCAGCGGCATGTGGTAGTCAAAACCCATGGCAAGGGCATTCAAGAACACGTGCTCGGTAGATCTGATGTCCTCATTTTAATCCCTTTTGCAAGTATCTTGGTTGAGACATATTTGGGCTGTTGGGAGCAAGAGGGACAGCCCTGCTTGAAATGCTAATGCGGGCCCTTCGTGGAGCAAGGTTAGCTTCGAAATTACTTTGAAGATGACAAAATTCTTTCTTTATAACACAGAATGTTAATTCAAAAGATAATTACCTCTCAATCTGATTTTCTTTGTTAAATGAAAGTGACATTTCTCCTGCTATGTAAAGGTCAGAGCCAGTTAATGCCTCTGGAAGAAAATGTTGAGGAGGTGCTCACTGTCTACTATAACTTTTACAAAGCTACAGGAGAGATGTTGGAGGGGCTGGAGAGATGGCTCAGTGGTTAAGAGCACTTGATGCTCTTGCAGAGGACCTGGGTTTGGTCCTAGCATCACATGGTGGCTCACAATCTGTAACTCTAGTTCTGGGGACTCTGACCCTCTCTTTGGCCTTTGTAGGCACCAGTGCGCTCTCTCTCTCTCTCTCTCTCTCTCTCTCTCTCTCTCTCTCTCACACACACACACACACACACAGGCAAAACATTCATGCATATAAAATAAATCCATCAGAAAAGCTGCAAACTATTAGTGCTGTGGGCTGGCTGAGTGGAGGTGGCAAATCCTACTTACCCCTCGGCCATGGCACTGCATTGCACACTTGTGAACCCCAAAGACGCTGACATTCTGACATCGACGATTGAGGCAGATCTGTGGGAGACACAGCACATGCCTCAGTACCTCTGCTCCCCACCCTTACACAGGCACACGAAACAGAGAAAGCAGGGGGTCTTGACAGATGGCTCTGTTGGCAACATATTTGCTGTGCAAACCTAAGGACCCGAGTTCAATTCCCAGAGCCCATGTAAAAACAAAAACGGAAACAGAAACCCAAGCATGGTCGTGTGTGCTGGTGGAGAAAGGTGAATCTCTGGAGCTTGCTGGACATCCTAACTAGCAGCCCTGGGTTCCAGTGAGAGACTGTTATTAAAAACAAGTGGATGTCACTTGACAAGAGACCAGAGGTTGACCTCTGGCTGCCGCAGGTCACAGACAAACATGGACACACCCTCCATACATAACATGAAAGAGAAAGCAATGAAAACTTGGAGAAGGCTCTCATTTTCGTGAGCATGGATGGAGCATAATAACTTGTGTTGTTAACCCCAGATATGGCTATCGGGGTAGGATCTGACACTTGTCCAATGTGAACAGTATTGATTGAGCTCTTTTATATCGAGAAGATGGTTTCAGTGGAAGTGAGAACTTAACTGATTTTCTTAAGAGTTTTGCGTAGGGCTTTGGGGGTCACTAGTGACACAAAGAATCCACAGGGATGCTCCCCAGGGCACTGTTTATCTAGGCACTGTAGAGGCTCCTATTTGCTGCATGGCCTTGGCTAGTTGGAAGTGGTTGTCTCTGTCAGCAGTGCTCAGCCACCCACACTCATATCTGCACACGTGCCCATATATAAACCAGTGTGGCCAAACTCAAAAATCCTGCTTCTTCCTTTAAAATTTTTGGTTTTGTTTTTAACTCCAAAAGCATCTCAGCCTTCCTCCTCCCTGTTCTCCCAAAGGACCCCCTTCTGTCTCTCAGCTGACCCCCACTCTGTGCCCCTCCTTTCTCTACAGAGTCTCTGAAGATGCCGCTGACTTCCCACTTTGCCCAGGCTAGAACAGGCCCCCAAGAGCTCTGCCACTTCCCCAAAGCAAGATGCTCCACTGCCTTGTTTCTTGTGTTTCTTTCTGAGGTCAGTTCCTGGCAAGAGGTCCCCCTGAAGCCCAGGGGAAGAAATACTTTCTCCTAAAGGGAGAAAACAAACCCCAGGTCTCCTAATTCGTTTCTCAAAGGTCAGACTGGGACTTCAGAGTGGCTGACTTTTTCTTTTAAGTACAAAGAGTTGGATTCCAGAGACCATATTCTGAGGAGCTTTAGGAAGATCAACTGGTCCCCTCCCCTAGTTCCTAAGCAGGCTCTTCCGTGGCTGTGCTCCAGACTTACATTAGGATGCAAGTGAGAACTGGGTTCTTACTTTTCCTTCTGCACACTTTGTTCCTGAGAGCACAAGCCCTGGATCTGGCATGTCATCGCCCAAGTACACATGGGTCCCCCGGCACAGAATCCGACCTCCTTCCTGCTGTGGGATATTTGTTTCTATGGAAACGGCATTGGTACCAATGACTGGTCGACTGGCGCCACCTTGACACTGGATTTTTCCACACTTGGCATCTCTGGAAGGGTAAGAATACACAAGCTCAGAACAGGGCCAGTGTGGGGTGGCCTCTGCCATGTGTATGGGCTCAGCGCCACGGTGGCAGGGAATGTGGCCTCATACCTCATCTCGCATTTGACGAAGGCGCTCTTGGAGTCTTTGCCACAGTTGCCATAAGGATCCCCTGCGGAGTTCACTCTCTCGAAGCAGATGCCAGGGGCTGGTTTAGCACCTGGAACAGAAGAACAACGGCACCTTCCTCGTTGCTGCTTCTGATTTCCTCTGAGCAGCACTGGGCTTTGGGGATAAGGAGAAGGGTATTCCATGTGTGGAGAAGTGGCACGCTGTACCCAGATGGCTCAGGAGGGGGCTGCTGCCAACCTGGAGGACCTACAGCTGGCATCCTTTCCTGGCCCAGCCCACTCATTTTTCTGTGTTGTGCTGTAGGCTTCGATTTGGGACCCAAGGCATGCGCAGACTCTCAAGAGATTAGGCTGGACTGTATAATCGGATCTGGTCAGGAGCAGGAAGGAGTTGGCTGGCTGGCTGGCTGCAGACAAGGGGAAGCTACTCTCTGTAGCAACATCCCACTCAATTCCGGTGAGAAAAGACAAGCTAGGCAGGCTCCAAGGAGTAGAGATGGCTAGTGTGTGTGTGTGTGTGTGTGTGTGTGTGTGTGTGCGCGCGCGCTGGGGGGTGGGATGGGAAGGTGGGAGGAGGGAGAGTGAGAGGGATGCAGAAATCTTTTGTTTTCAGTCCTAGAGAGCTCCAAGAGTAAGCACCATCTTCAGGGAACGGTCATTTCTGCGTAGATTGTTCTCTGTTCTCTGAGCCAATAGTCAGGGTACACAGCAGGATATGCCCTGATGGTTGTGGATCATGGAGTGACCCCTGTTAAGACCACCTCTTTTTGCCAGAGAATAAGGAATTGAGGGCTAAGGGAGAAAGCTTTGGGGGGCTCTTCTACGGCAGCCTCAAAGGTTGGTAACAGTGAGGGCGTCAGAGGAATGGGGCAGGCCAAACCGAGCCTGGCCATTAGCTCTTGGCCTGCCTCCCCTTCCAGCATCTGGTTTGGACATTTCCCTTCACAGCACTTTCAATGACTAGGAGGTGACTTCCCAAAGCCCGACCTGCCCTATTCTCTGCTCCTAGCTCCAGGGAGTCTCTGTTGGCATTCTAAGGTGATAATGCAATCAAGATTCCAATCAGATTTGGTCCTAGGCCAGGACTTCACCCCTCCTCTGCAACGATACCTATTGTTCTTTAACCTGTGCTGCTCCCTTATCAGCTCCTAGCAGAAATGGCTGCCTTGTTCAATAGCAAAAGCACACAGCTCGCCATTGTCACCCTCTTTCCATGTGAGATAGGCCTGTGCCTGCTTTAGACCTCTGGACTAGTCATCCCATTCCAGACCTTCTGCTTCCTCTTTGTTTGCTTTTTGTTTGTTTTGAAACAGGGTCTTATTATGTAGATCCTCCTGGAACTCATCATGTAGACTGGGTTACCTTTGAACTCACAGACATCCACCTGCCCTTGCCTCCCAAGTGCTGGACCGAAAGGTGTGTGCCACCATACCTGGCACGTTCCTTTCTTTACTCCTAGTAAGCGTTTTAGGCAGGTCTTCTGGAGCTCCTGGCTAAGGCACACCAGCCCCAACCGGAACTAATGCCGTGTTGCAGGAAAAGACCACTTGGTCTCTGCAGCATCACCTTCCCTTTCTCCCATAGAGTCTCATCTCCTTTGCTTGAGTCTGTGTCCACCAGCCCTTTTCTGAAGAACAGCTTGATTGCCTATGATGCTGGTTGCTCCCTGCTTCCTTCTTAGATACTGACCATTGGGCAATACCCGCATAGAGTCTGTGTGTGTCTAGAGGGATTTTCCTCCAACGGAAAGACACTACAGAGAGGCACTAGGTAGTTTTATGCCTTTTTGTTGACCCTTCTCTTCCTAAGAAAGACAAAAACAAATCCCCAAAGATGACATTTAGAGAGGGACTGGATAGATGGCTGGATTGGTAAAGTGATTTTCAGGAGCTGGGTTCAGATCCCCAGTATCCCTGTACAAAGCCAGGTACGCACCCATGATTTCACTGCTGAGGAGGTAGAGACAGGAGGATGCCTACAACCTGCTGGCCATTAGGTCTAACTGAGCTGCTGAGTCCCAGGTTTAGCAAGAGTTTATCTCAGAAAATAAAGACTGGGGATGACATGAGATATCTTGCCCGCATACACAAAAGACATGCATATGAACACACAAACATGCCACCCCCTCCCAAATGACTTGAAAAGAGATGTCAGTTTCTAAGATAACAAGTTTCAAGAAATTTGGCCAATATAGTTTTTTCTCCAGCAGCTTGAACAATACAGGCCGCTGAGATTAACTTTGTGTCTCTACCAGGAAGCGCTGAAGGAGCAGGAGGCTCTGTGTCACAGGTTGCTGCTGACACACGCGTAAGCAGGATGTGTCTCTGTCAATGACCTTAGCAGTGACTTGTGATGAGGCAAAGGAAGTGGAGATGTGGAAGAGGGCAGGGCCATGACTTCCTCTGCTACTGGAAACTGGGAGACAAGAGGCACCTGACCATGGCCCAGACGATTCTCTAGCACACCCTGTACCTTTTCTGTGTTCCTATCTGTGGAGAGCACAGAATGATGTTTCCCCTTCTCCATCCTCCAATAGTCCCAGACTGGCAGTTCCCATCAACACCCCGAAGCTGCTCTTTTAACTGAATGATGGGGGTGGGACGAGAAGGCAAGAAGGAATGAACAGAGCTCCATGAGAAATGCTGGTCCTCATCCAATTGTCTAATGTTTCCTACTATAGAGTCTTTGGGGTGAGGGGATACCCCTTGCAAGAAACAGGGATTTCAAGGCTAAAGATTAAGTTGAATCAAACTTACAATGATGGGAAAGGTTGAAACTTAGTCCAGTTCTCATGCCTCATCTGACTACCTCCAACTTGCAAGGCTGCTTTCTGGGACCAACATGTCCCCAGCTAGAGCTCATGGGCACTTCTTAGCATTGTTCCCTCCAGTGCAGCTCAGCAGCCACACCCTCCCATGGAGTAACTCCCTTTATAGGAGAACCAGTGCAGAGGGGTTGGTTTCCTCTGATGATCTGAAGTGAAATCTGCTTTATTGATAAGAAGTCGCAGTGTAGAAGACATGAGATTGTTTGACGGTTGTGCCTCATGTATCTACTATACTTCTACTTCCGAAAACATTATGTTTTTCTTATAGGAGTACCATTTACATGGTCAGGGAAGTGCTGACTTTCGCATGCAGTGCCAGAGGGATGGACTTTAAGACTCCTTTCTGGCCAGAGCAATCTATCTCACAGGATAGGGTCAATGCTCGTCTAAATGGATCTAGGGCTTCTGGGTCCCTTGGGGCCTTCTTCGGTTTCTCCCTTTTCGTGGAGCTGGTGGGCATAATCCTTGCTCATTTTCCTCTTTCTCTCATGAATCTTCCTTGTATTTACTATATATTGCCTACTGACTGCAAAGAGCAGGATATTCATGAAGAAATGAGCGTAAGGCCAGTGGGCCAGCCTCCTATCTCCAACACTCCCAGAGGCCGCCATTTGTGCTCAGCAAATGAAACACCAGGGCCGTGGACACATCTCCCCAGGGTTCTCTTCTGCAGCTGTGGATTTTCACCTGCTCCCTGGCATCAGATGAAATGCTGTCATGTCGCTCCGCGTAAAGCTGCATGCATGAAGACAGAGGCTTTGCTTTTGGGAAAGAAAAATTGCTGTTTTCTCAGAGGTGAAGTTCAAGTCCGAAAACTGAGAAGCGGGGCAGAGGGATTCTAAATGGGACGCATCTTGACATTCAAAGGATCCATCATCAAGAGAAAGGGATAAAAAGGAAACCAAATCACAGACGACCTTCTGAGCTGACACTCTCAGCCTCTCACTGAGTCCATACGAGGAGTGACACGCTAGTGTTCGGCATGGCTTTTGTATGCCAGCTGCCAGCTGGTGCTTGTCTCTGAGGCAGAATGGTGAAGAATTTGAAAGGTCTTGGCATGTAAGGCATGGCAAAGGGAGAGATGCAGGCACGGCAAAGGCAGGGATGCAGGCACGGCAAAGGCAGAGATGCAGGCTTAAAATCGCTGTGCTTAAAAATTCTGCACTGTGTGTTTTCACGAAGGTGAGAGACTGCACATCTCTCTCTCGTGGACAGAATGGCAACAGTTTTCTTATCGCTCCAGTGCTACATCAATTAAAGCCTTTGAGTTCTTAATAAGGGAACGCTCAGTGCTTGGCCACTAGCAGGAGATAAAGCTGAGGGAGTCTTGACGCTGCTCTGCATTTTAATCGCCACTTTTGGCTTTGAGCACAGTGGCTCACACTTGTAACCGGGTCTGGAAGTTCTCAATGTCATGGTGTCCTCTGAAGAGGAAGTGAAGAGGACAGCGCTTTGAATGAAGCCCCAAGTTTCCTCATTCTGAGCCTCTCCTTGAGACGATCTTCACCTGCAAACACTCTGATCTAGTCCGGGCCAGTCCACTCCTCTCTCTTTGTCAACTCCTGTCACTTAAACCCACAGACAAAGGCACTGACATAAGCAGGTGGCATCTGCCCTTCCATTCTCTCCAAGTCACCTTTGCCTTTTCCAGGGAATGAAGCCCAAATGAACAAATGCCATCATTTCCTTCTCACACGATGGAACAAGGCTTTCCTGGCTCTCCAACAATAGGCCTCTTGGCAAAATATCCTTTCTTCCCCTGGGCAACCATCAGTTACAGTAGGCCATCAGTACATGCAAGGCCCTGAGTGGATTTCAAGTTAATTGGGCTTATTTAAACCGGCCTTGTAGATAAACACTGGATATTTACGATCCCATAAAACTTATCTGGTCAGCTGATGTGGCATAAACCAATGACCGTAGAATCTGGTTACTGACAAGATGGACACTAACAGCAAGTTTGGGGGCCCCTCCAAGGGAAAATCGGTGACTTTTGGCCTGTGGTGATCATGTAACATACCTATGATGTTAACGGTCTCCATCACTAATTAATGTTAATGGTCTCCATCACTAGGCTAGTGGCTCTGGCAGACAGCACTGCTGAAAGGCAATCTTCAGCCTGAGGAAAAACCCCAGCTATATTTTAGCAGGAATAAAGGTCATGCCATGGCAACAGAAAAGCTTCCTGAATATTGAGACTGAACTGGAATAAGAAGCTCAATACCCATTTGAACTGCAGATAATGTTATGTCTGGGATGCCAACATCTAAAATCTTGAGACAGTGAGCTAGGGAGACAGACAGCTCAATGGGCGAAGTATTGGCTATTCTGGCGTGAGGACCTGAGTTCCAATCCCCAGCACCCATGGAAAAAACTTGGCCTGGCTGAACATGCCTGTGATCCCAGCAAGGGAAAGTCGAGACAGGAGGATCCCTGGAACTCCCTGACTGCCAGTCCAGCCAAGCCAGCATTCAGGTTCTTGAGCGACTCTGTCTCAGAAAATAAGGTGGGGAGTGGCTGAGTTCGACACTTGATGCCAAGTCCTGGCCCCAACTTGCACACGCTAACCGCGAGATGTGGTAGAAAATCAGGTTGGAAAAGAAAACTTCCCCAGCCAACAGGGAGAGCTTCAACAATACTACTACTAATAATTAGACCATAAAAAAAAATACAAGTAAATGAACAAACCCCACAGAGGTCTTCTGAAAGTTTGTCCCGCTGCCACTTAGGAGGTGCAGGCACATGCTTTGAATCTTCTCTGCCTTTATTTCTAGGGAGACTTGGAAGCAGGAGGATTTTATTGGAATCTAATGCTGGACTGAGAAAGGCCCATCTCAGAAGGGAATAGCTAGCTGGAAGAAAGGGCTTTATCCGGTCAGCTTTGAATAGCCAGCTCTGAGGCGTGAGTAACAGACACCCTGGATGTAACCGGAGAATTCGATGTGACTCAACAACTTGGCCAGGTCACTGGATACGAAAGGCACAGCCATCCAAGCAATGACTCAAGGAGCCCTAGAGTTCTGAGTGACCCCATTCCCTGGAGGTCGTCTATGACCCTTACACAACATGGTCTAGATCTGGGAGTGGGAAGATGAGACACGGCAAATGTATCCTGGACAAAGGCTTCCTTCCTGAATCATGGAAAGTTCATTTGAACCAACCGCTGCAGCACTCTAAGGCTCTCAGCCCAGCACATCTGGCTGGCCAGGGCCCCAGCCCAGGAAGTCACCTCTGCCCCTGGGGCTACATCCACCCAGGGCAGGGTAAGGGCTTAGTGTAGTTGTAGGGAGGATGGGACAGAGGGAGTCACATCCCGAGAAAAGCATGCAGGGAACAGGCAGTGCATTCCTCTGGCACAAGCAGGCTCTTGAGTCAGCATCTCCTACCCAGCAGGATGTCAGCAAATACTTAACAAATGAGAGAATGAATGACAGACAAGGGTCTCTGCTGCTGTCCAAGTCACAGCTCTACACACACAGAACTAGCTGCACTTCCTGCCTTGGCCCTGCCACCCCGTCGTACCCTCTACCCAATCCTGGATGCTAGAAACACCACCTCTTCCGGATGATGACTGCAGGGCAGTGTCTCTCAGAGTCCTTCAACCTGGCTGCTCGCTACCCTCAATCCAGGCGGTGTCTTTCCTCTCTCCATCGCATCTCGCCTTTCTACAAAGTCTTGAGCATCTCTTGAGAACACACTCACATTGCATTGACTAAAGTTTAGATTTACCAGGTGCCAAGCACCAGGACTGTTGGTACGTGCATTCTACTAGACAGAACAGAGCGTGGACTACAGTAGAGGATGTTACATGCATGGGTAGGTAGGATACTCATTCCACTTCACAGCTGAGATCCAAGAAGGGTCAGAAATTTTCTGAAGGAATAGAGAGTGGTTCAGCCTCAGTGTTCAACACCAGCCCATTCTCTCCAGCCTGGACCCCAGCAGTGTGTTACCTTACAGGACGAAAGGGACTTTGCAGACATTCATTTAGAGATCTTGAGATGGGAAGAAGATGGAGACCTGGGTGGGCCTAATACAGTCATATGGGTACTTGCAAGGGAAACAGGAGGGGCAGAGCCAGAAGACTACAGAAGCTGAGGTCAGAGGAGCCGGACAGACAACTGCACGGCTGGCCTTGACGAAGGAGGGGCGGGGAGTCGAGGACATTGGTAACCTTGGAAAGCTGGAAAAGGCAGCGAGACAACATTCTTCCCCCACATTTCTGGATGTGCTATGTCTTCCCAGCACCTGGATCGGAGGACTCTGGTCTCCAGAAACGGAAGCTGTGACTTTTCCTGTCACGAGTTGCTAAGGCCCTGACCACAGGTGACTCTCAAAGTGTCATCAACATACCAGACAGTCTCACTGGTGTGGAGAGAAAGGGCCATGACATAATGCGAGGGGTGGCAAAGAAGTCATGGTCTCAGTCAGCCAGAGGCCTTGCCTGTCCCCTCTCTGCTGAGGATGTTCTTTTACGAACTGTGTTGAGAAAGGTCTGGTGGGGGCACATTGAAACCCATGAAGTCACTGCCTGAGGTGGTTCCCCAGACCTGGACTCCCTGATTTTCTTAGCACCTAGTGCAAAGAACCATTCCACTTGTCCCAGGCACCAGGGAGGAGGTGGGCAGGAGAGAGAAGAACTAAGTGTGTGTGTGTGTGTGGGGGGGGGGGGGGGGGGGGGCTCTTGGGGGAAATGACCCTCTTCAGGACAGTGTGCAGATTATAATGCCATCAGACTTCAGTTTCAGCTACCAAGATGGGGGGCCTTCAAGAAGGTGGATGCTCTTGCTTCTGAGAAGCCCATCTGTCAGTCAGGCTGGCTTCTGCATGTCTAGTGAGCACACAACTCTGTCCCCATTCCCTGGCCCTGCCCCTTGAATACGCATGTGATGGCAGAGGTCAACGTTGGCTGTCTTTCTCTGTCACTTCTCGACCTCATTTTTGAGACAGGTTCTCTCTCCTATAGGGGCTTGGTGACTGGATAGGCTGGCTAGCGCAAGCCCCAGGGATCCACTGTCTCTATGTCCCTGGAGCTGGGATTACAAGCTTGTGCTGCCCTGCTCGGCTGTTTACATAGACTTATGTAAAAATGGATCAGGACTTTGTCCTCATGCTTCCCTGATAAATACCCATGATTAGTACTTTACTGACATCATAACTCACGGATCTCAATCTGTTTGTCTGTCTCCCCCTCCTTTTATTTCCCACTGATAAATACCTGCTTTGGTCACCATGACAGCCAGCAGAGCCAATGGTTTGGGGAATGCTGTGCTGTTCCATCTGAGCTCATGCCGGAGCTGGGGCCAGGTCTCATAGCACAGCTGGGCACTGAAAAGCTCCACAGGCCAAGGCCAGCTCCCATAAAGGGAGCAACAGAAGAGCCACTGTAACTTTATGGGAGCTTCCTGCCGGTAGAAGAGCTGGGAGAGCGGAAGGGCCACCAGAGATGTCTGAGGCCTGCTGCACTAAACCCGTGTCCTAAACTGACCTTGGTTGGCTACAAGGTATCTGAACTCTCTAACCCATTCGGAGTCCTATGGCCATTTGACACGTGTATAACAAACGTCTCTTGGTGTGTGTCGCTGTAACGGTGGTATCCTACCTATGTCTTAAGAATCTCATGGGCATCAGGTGAGGGAGCCAGCACTGAGACTCGAAAGAGGAAGTGTGAAGGACTGGGAGTTTCAGGACTCTTTATTCTACCTGTCCAGGGTACATCTGCTTATGGGAGCCACAAGCCCACACTTTCTTCTTCCCCAGAAAGCTCCAAGTGAGGGGGCATCTTTGCTGGGCACTGAGAACTCTCCAGGCTTGGGAGTTGTACCCACAGCAGTTAAAACCAGGCTTCAGTGTTTGGGCATCATTTTCTGCTCTGGTTGACTCCGCTTATTCCTCTGGAAACCAGAGCCTTATAGAGAGTTTCTGGTTTCCCCCAGAGCTGGCTTAGCTTGAGGTCTGAGTCTGGCTGACCATAGTGGCCTTGCTGGCGCTGGGGCCTCTGGCCAGGTCTGAGGTCATCTCTTAGCTGTAAGTGAGGACTCAGCCAAACTCAATGGAAAGAAAGAAGTGTAACACACTCAGAAAACATCCCCAGTGGGATACCTAGCCAGGATCCCAGGAGCTGTAAATGAAGTAGATCCAGAATGGTTTCTAGGTAATGAGGCCCTCCCCGGAGTGGCAAGCTCTCCTAGTAATAATGGTTAGAGTGATAAACCCCCGGGACAGTGAGGCCTGCAAGGCAGGGTGAGGTCCTTAGGTACTGAGAACCCCTGGTAGTGAGGTTTGGGGTAGTGAGGCTTTTAAGGAGTAAGACTCCAGTGTCTAGGCTGCCCGAGGAAACCCTGAATCTGACTTCAGAGGGGAGCCCCAAAGAGATATACAGGCAGGGCCCTAAGATTTAATCTGCATTTTTAGAACCTTAATGGGACTTTAGATAAAGGCCGCATCTGCTCACGGGAGTTACTGTGCACTGTGAGAGTTATGCCCAGATGATGGGTCACCGTGGCCACACCTCCTGCAGAAGCAGACTTCCCGTCTCAGAGTTTGAACCTCATTGCAGAGCAGAATGGGCCTACATGGAGGAATACCCCCAGGAGCCAGGCCAGACTCATATACATAGAGCATACGTCCTTCACTGTCCCTTACAGAACTGGAAGCGGCCACGTACCTGGTCCCCAGAGTGTGACACACTGTTGCTCGTGGGTCTGGCAGATGCCGTTGTAGCAGTAACCATCCACTCCCTGACACGGGTGCCCATCATGAAGGTACACGTTTGCTGGGCAGTGAGGGGCAGTCCCTGTACAGAATTCTGGGAGGTCACAGGAATTGCTGGAGGGTCTGCATGCAGTCCCTGGAGGCTTCAGCTGAAATGACAAGGTGGCTTATGGCACATGTATCAAGTAGGAGGTAACGACCCTCAGTAGCTCTCCTGGGGCAGACTGCAACAGGCCACCTACTACGGTTGAGTAAACAGGTGGGGATTTCAGCATCATCCCCTTTGATGGCAGAGAGTTCTCCTTAAATGGTTTTGTACAGGTCACATTTACTGTATAACTGCAGGTAACACCAGGTTCCCCAAGGAGCAGACAGTCTGGCTCTTGTTGAGTCTCTTATTGAAGAGGTAACCCTTTTCTCAGGCGATTGACACCATCACATGCCTTATCCTCATCTTCAGGCATTTTTAGGCAAGTTAGCAAAATCAGCAAGATCAGACTCTCAATAACAGGGCTATACTGTCATCCAGTTAAAGAACCAGGGCCCCCTTTATCACTTTATGGGGAAAACTGAAGGGGAGTGGCAGGAAGGATAGGGGGAGGATGGGGAGAAGGACCAGGAGGTGGCAGCAGAAGCAGCAGTGGTAGCGGCTATCAGCAAGGGCTGTTAGACCTCTGTCTGACAAGCAGCTCATCTTTTAGACTGAAAAAATGAAGGTTCAGGGGAGCTTGTTTGAGCTCCACAGTCAAGGCCACCAAGTCCGGGGCTTGGGTGGCCTGCATACTCCCGAAGGCAACAAGGTGAATTACCCACCAACTCCTGAAGTTTGGAAGGGATTACTGGAAAGCTACAGAAGTGGATGACAGTTGTACCCATATATCCCTCCCACCTTGAGCCTTATTCCGTGTTGGTTCATCCCCTTCCTGGCACTCTCCAGCACTAGTAACTGGGTACCTGGGTACTGGGTACTTCTTATAATATTTTCCAGAACTTAGTAAGCATCAGGAGAAGATATACAAGCACAGACACACACACACACATGCACTCATATGCATGCTCTCACACACACACACACATGCATACACACATACATATTCACATAACATACACATGCACACACACTCACACATGCACACAAACACTCATATACACATTCATACACAGACATACATGCATCATTATAATCCACTTCTAAATGATGTGCTTGGGTGGGGTGGATCATGGAGCTTCCTGCAATCCTTGTGCCAAGATCAACTGCTTAAGTATCAAGACATAAATGCCTATCCTAGGAACCTTCAATGCTCAGGCCTTCCCCGTTAGACATGCACTCTGAATAAACAGGATGAATGGTAGAAACACCAAAGCAAGAGCAGTCAGAGCAGTGCAAACAGCAAGTCAGGCAGTTGCCACTCTGGCAGTTCAGGGTGGTCCACACTTTCTGTTGGTGCAGACACCCCCAGGAACCACCAGAATGGCTTCTCTGCTACCTGCCAGACACTGGCATCAGGCAGGTGGACCTGGCATGAGGCTGAGTGGCAGGGGTAAGGCTAGGCTCTCCTGTCATTGCTTTTCTCATGGAGTTAGGACACCCACAAGCACAAATGGAATATTAGGGTTGAGCTTGGCTTTCTCAGTTCTGTTAGTTTTTAGGCCGTGGGCCATTTATCACAAGAGTTAGCAATTAAACTGTGCATTTTACCAGACCAGAGAGTTCTAAGAACTACTAGATGGTACCGACTGGTGAAAGGGCAGCTTCCTTCCCAGGATGATCTTGGGAAAAGCAGCTCACCATACTACTTCCCTTGCATCAGACGGGAGCCACCCAAACCAGGCAGAAACCTCCAGCCACGCTGGACTCACCTGGCAGTCCTCGCAGCACTGCCCATGCGCGCACACAGCATCCGGCTTCAGAGTGCAGGTGCTGGCGTTACAGCAGCGATTGGTACATTCCTGAGGAGGGGAATGGGATCCGTTTGAAGGGTCATGTTTGGAATGGTGACTCTCAGAATGCCAACGTCACACCCTAAATGACAGCAAAGGCTAAGGTGCCCAGATCCTGAGCTGAAAACCTGGCCCAGACCTGCTTTCCTTGGCCCAGGAGCAAAGTGTCTGGTAAGTGTTTGTGAACCAAGGAGTCTGCTGTTGCTAAGAGAAGTCAGGAGTCCTCAAGAGTCCTTCATGGGGGGAGGGTCTGGGGGAGGGAAGCCAGGAGCGCTTCAGGTCAGCAGCTCCCTGGGAATTCTTCCTGCAGGGCATGGTGCAGTGAGCTGTGTCAGAATCATCGGAGGGCTTGGAAATTGCTCATTTCAAAATACATGCATGGACAGGGCAGTGTTGGCACAGGCCTTTAATCCCGGCACTTGGGAGGCAGAGAGAGACAGGGGGATCTTTGTGAGTAAGAGGCTAACCTGGTCTATGGAGTGAGTTCCAGTACAGCCACAGATATACAGAGAAATGCCGTCTCAAAAACAAAACAAAATCCAAGCAAAACAAAATTAAAAACAAACAAAACAAAAACCATGCATGGATGTGACCCTTATTCTTCAAGAATGAACCCTTCTGAGAGATAGGAGAGCAGCCCAGTGGTATAGCACTTGTTTGGTGTATTTGTTTAAAAAAATGGGGGGGGAGTCTACTTCTGATTTGGAGTATGCAGATGCACCAAGAGGAAAAACATTCAGGACAGTTCCCTGTGGTATACCAGGTGGGTGAGGAGTAAATCCTTGTTTAGCAAAGGTAAGTCCTCGGCCTAGGATATTCTGGGGAGAGGACTGGGCATCAGAGTGAGGCTAAAGGGTGTTGGGGTAGGAGTTCTCATTTTATTTACTTTTTTTCCCCTTCCCCCATCCGTCTTTCCTCCCTTCCCTCTCTCTCTCCCTCTCTCCCCCCTTTCCTTTTTGGCCACTCTCCCCCCTCCCTGCCTTCTTTTCTCCTTTCTCTCTCCTTCCTTTTCTCTTATACTTTTTTTTTTTTAAATCAAGCCCAAGGACTCATGGATGCAAGGCAAGAACTTTACCAACTGGGCCATATCCTCAGCCTTCTTTCTTGTTTTGGGAGCTAAGGTCTCTGTGGGCCTGGCTGGCATGGTACTTCCTTTGTAGACAGGCTGGCCCCACCCCTTGGTGGGTGATCCCCCAGTCTCTTCTTCCTTAGTGTGAGGATTGGAGGATTATGCTACCACACCTGTCCTGAGCATGCCCATTTTCAGGGGATCTAAATACACACAAATTGAGTTGTATTATCCCCTCTGAAACAGAAGTGAAGAAGAAATTCAACTCCTTTAGAGACAGTACACCATGTGAGCTCACGGCTTTCTGATAGAGACAAGGATCAACACCCTTTGCCTGTCTTAGCCGAAGGCTGCACCCACTTGTGTAGCCAATCCCTGAAGCCCATGAGCTTTAGAGCCTCCTGGAAGCTTGGAATTTGTGCGATTAAGAAGAAAATGTCACAGAATGCTTAATGCCGCCCAAGACCTCAACCTCAACATTCTTTAATTTTTGATGTATTCTGAAAAACTTACACCTGGCTGGCCAGCCAGCATGAAGCTAATCGTGTCCATGTCTAACAGTATAGTCAGTTACTCCTGAAAAATATCTCTCATGAATGAATTTCTTCTCGGTCTTATAGATGTAATTAATAAATCTGCCAGTGATTGGGAAGATGTAGGGCGCCCCCAGACACCTGCTCAGCATCCGCCACGGAGCCCCACAGACTGATCTCTCACGCAGTGTTTACGTTTGCTCCTACCATGCATACTTCCAAACTTGTTAAATTTTAAATCCGCTTGAGGACTCTGTAAACATCCGGGACATGTAATGTACACAGTAAGATAAAGCTGCCAACCAGAAGTCAGTGCGGTGGCTTTCATGACAGGGAGGGTTTTCAGCTTATGGGCTTACAGCTCTATACAAGTTTAGAAATGTTTTCCCTCTTAAGGATCCCATTAATTGCATCCTGGACCAGTGCCCCTGGGTGTGCAGCAGCACCGCTCAGCTTGCTGTGGTCTTAGTGACTTCCCGAATGTTACAGGAGCTGAGCCAGAGACTTCCTTGCAATGCTGAGTTAAAGCGGTCATCTGATATCTGGGTCTAACACACTTGTGAGGGCTCCTCCTGCCACCCCTCAAATCACTTGTAATGTAAGCAGCAGCCCCAGTGGGAAGGTAGCCAAGTGGAACAACTTCAAAGGGGATCCATCACGTGAGAAAGATAATGACGTTTAAAAGACGTGCAAGGGACTGGTATCCTCCTGACTCTCAATGGTATGGGGCAGCGTTCCCAGCCTTGTGAGTTGGAAGGGCGGTTTATCAGGGAATCCTTAATACCTTCTACCAGAAGGTAAAAACAATTTTTAAACTACCTCAAATCTCTTTATGTACTACCAGATTTCACAGAAGAGACAAATTCCTTGCCTATTGGTGCATTTACTATTTTAGTAGTCAGCAGAGAAGCAACAGAACCAATGAATGTCAGGTCTCCAAATAAAAAGAATAACAAAGCTATTGAAGACCGTGTATAAGCACTAAATAGCCTTTCTTGGGCTGTGGGAAGCAGATGGAGATTCTTGGTCACTATGAGCTACAGTGCACTCTCCTGGACACAATGGAGCTTCTGGCAGTGAGGGAGCACATGTAGGTTTGTGGGCTGGTGTATGTCACACTGATCTGCCATTCCCTGCGTTTGGTGTGATTAGCAACAGAAGGAGTGTCTGCAGGACCTGGGCACAGGGGACCAGACAAAAGAGCCCAGGTAACAGGTTTGAATGGAAGTTCTTGTAAGCCTGGGGTTGTCTGAGAAGGGAGACTCAGTCAAGGGATTTCCAAGATCAGACTGGGCATGTCTGTAGGGGGTTGTCTTGACTGTGAGTTGATTTAGGATGGCTTAGCTCACTGTGGATAGTGCCCATTCCAGGTAGTTCTGGGCTGGAAAGGGAAGCTGTCTGAGCATGGTCCAGAGAGTGAGACCACAGGGGTGCTCCTCCTGGTTTCTGCTTCTGTTTTTCTTGCTTGAGTTCCTACCCTGACTCCCTTCAATGATGAACTGTAACCTGGAAATGTAAGCCGAGGAAATTCTTTCCTCCCCAAGTTACTTTTGGTCAGAACGTTTTAGCACAGCAAGAGATAGAAACTAGGACACGTGGCTAGGTACCATTGACATCTGAACCTAGACTTAAAACATAAAACATACGTTAATATGACACAAGTGGGGCAAAAGGTTCACTGTGATGCTAGCAAATTTCTAGGGAGGAAGAGCTTCAGATAAGGAGAAGGGAGTTTTCTTAAAATATCAAGAAACCTCTTTATGAAAAAAAGAGAACCCTAACTATAGAAATACCAAGCTGGGAACTACATGCAAGAAGATTTTGGCTTTATCTAATGAGTTTGTCACAATCAACACAGTGCAGTGAGGTCCCTGGAGAGACATCAAGCACCTATCCATGGCTGTGGGATTCTTCTGTGGAGATGGAGGAGCATGGCATGAGTAGCTGGCAATAGGAACACAGGGATCCCCTGATAGGTCAGTGCTGGTGGTGATGGCCATGCTAGTGCTAGTGGTGAGGATGCTGATGCTGGGGCAGTGCTGGTGGTGAGGATGCTGGGGCAGTGCTGGTGGTGATGGCTGTGCTAGTGCTGGTGGTGAGGATGCTGATGCTGGGGCAGTGCTGGTGGTGAGGATGCTGATGCTGGTGCAGTGCTGGTGGTGAGGATGCTGATGCTGGTGCAGTGCTGGTGGTGAGGATGCTGATGCTGGTGCAGTGCTGGTGGTGAGGATGCTGATGCTGGTGCAGTGCTGGTGGTGATGGCTGTGCTAGTGCTGGTGGTGAGGATGCTGATGCTGGGGCAGTGCTAGTGGTGAGGATGCTGGGGCAGTGCTGGTGGTGATGGCCATGCTAGTGCTAGTGGTGAGGATGCTGATGCTGGGGCAGTGCTGGTGGTGAGGATGCTGGGGCAGTGCTGGTGGTGATGGCTGTGCTAGTGCTGGTGGTGAGGATGCTGATGCTGGGGCAGTGCTGGTGGTGAGGATGCTGATGCTGGTGCAGTGCTGGTGGTGAGGATGCTGATGCTGGTGGTGAGGATGCTGATGCTGGTGCAGTGCTGGTGGTGAGGATGCTGATGCTGGTGCAGTGCTGGTGGTGATGGCCGTGCTAGTGCTGGTGGTGAGGATGCTGATGCTGGTGCGGTGCTGGTGGGGATAACACTGAGGACGTTGGGTAATGATGGTCAGGATGTGATGACAGCAATGGTGATGATGCTGGTAGGGACATTGGTGTGGCAGCAATGGTGAGTGGGGTGGTGGTGCAGGTATGTTGGAGGTGGGGATGGCAGTTAACGGGTACAGATGGCAGTGTGAGGATGGTGGTGTGGAGAGGATGAACGTGGCAGTGATGGGACTTGTGGGCACAGAGACAGTGGTGGATGCTAATGAAGGCAGATGGGGTGGATAACTGCCAGTGGAGTCATTCCAAATCCCAGCGTTCATGATTCCAGGAAGAACCACCCAATTTACTTGCATTAATAAATAATTATAAGGCATTCAGATCAAAGACAAACCATCTTAAGTCAACATGGCCTCTCCTGAGAAATGTGGGTAATTTAAACTAATTGGGTTGTTTCTTTAAGCAATTAACAAGGCCTCCAAGGGACTTTTCTCCTTTGTACACGCTATCCCACGATGGCTTCACTTTTCCCTTTGCTAATCCTGAAGCCATTCGGTAAGACTATAATTAGGACTTGTTCCTAGCCGGCAACTGCTCCCTGCTCACTGTGAGCAAAATTAACCACCGCTGTGGACAAGGCCATTATCACGGAGAAGTTCTGAGTTTGTCAAGGACACAAAACTATTTCTGTCTCTCCTCACTCCATCTGATTTCCCCTACCCCCAAGTGCTGTGCATCTTCTCTCAGAACTTGTGAGAGTAAGAGCATTCCCGCTGGCACGGAGGAGCCTCCTTGGGGACTTGGAGACAGGCTATGATAAAGATTCTTTTATTCCTGTGATGAGCACAGGAATATATGAGCTGCTTAGGCTTCCTGTCCCGGCTTCCCTTGTTTCCTGGGCATGGCATTCCCAAGGAGCCCTCTGAGATGCTGGTTTCTTGAGCCATTGTGAAGCCACCTATGGACCTGCCACAGACCTGTCTCCCATTCTGGCTTGCATATGTCCTCATGGAAGGAGCCCCATCTTAGTTGCTCTGCAAACCCCGGGCTTTGATTTACTCCAAATACCATCTCCTCCACGTTGTGTGGGGGGCACTTGTCAAGGCAGTCTAGGGCCTAGCGGGACTTAGGAGCCCTTAGAAGCTAGACTCGCATGCGAGGTAGTAGTGTTCTCTTTGTTGTTCTTTCTCAAGACTATTTAGGGAGGGAAAATGACTTACATGTTTTGTGTTTATCAGCTTTATCTTGGGCCTATACAAATGAGAAACTTCCCAGAGATTGGCGGGAAAGCAGGGTTCAATAAGCTTACTGCTGGTTGCAAACGCTGGCTGCTTTTTCTCGTTGCTTCCGAGCGCTAACAAGCTGAACGGCTGGATCCTCTGAAGCCTCAGCTGTGCACACAGAGGAGGCTGAAGAACAATCTCAGCTAGACAGAAAGCGCCCAGCTCAGCGCTGCTTAGCCACACTTCCCACTTCCCATCCACAGCAGGCTTTGCAAAGAGAAAGGCCTGGGACTTAGGAACCCCCAGAAGCTAGACTCCTGGGGCTTTGCTTTCCAAGAAACTCTGAGCTAACTCCTTTTTATTGTTCGCATCCTCATCACCCTAAGAATGGAAGCATCCTTCAACAGAGGAGAAGGCACTCCCTTGTTAAAACCTAGCGATACAGCCAACTCTGTACATGGCTAACACTCCAGAAAGCCACCCACAATGAGGAGCTTGTCCAAGGTATCCATATGGGACTCTTCCAGAGAATCTCGATTATAGCAGCATCCGCACTACCAACTCATTATCTCCCTCTCCTCCCCCACGCGTGTGTAGGCCAGAGATCAACATCAAGTATCCTTGCTCCAGTTCGCCATTTATTTTGGGGGGGAGGGGAGCGGCTAAGATCTCTCACTGGGACTTCTGGGTCTTAGCCATTGGATGAGGCCGACTGGCTGGTATGTTTCTGGGATCTGCACATCTCTGCCTCTCCGGTGCTGGGACTGCAGGCACACGCCACCACACCCAGCTTTTCCATGAGGGCTTTTAGGAACTCAGGTTTTCCTGGCTGCATGGCAAGCCCCTTACCAAGTGAGCTATCTCTCTAGTCTTTTGCCCATTTCCAGCATGTTCATTTTGCTGCCTGAGCTCGCTCAAGCTCCCCCTCCTCCCGGGCAGAGGCAACAGTAGATACCATGGAGAGGGTCCCCTTACCTCTGGTTCCCCGCAGTCACACTCTTCTCCCTCTTCCACGTAGCCATTTCCACACTTCCGGCCCCCAAAGGCCTGCTTGACCTCTGGCAGGTTGAAGAGGCACATCCCCATTCCCTTCTCCAGGCTAGTCTCCAGGTCCTTCCTGCTACAGCTGCTGAACACCATGGGGAACGGGAACCTGGGAAGAAAAGGCCTCAGTGAGTCACGGGCCCCAGTGGCCTTCTCTGCCCTCAGGGTCTTTGGCCCAGGATGCCTCTTGGTAGTGACGTACAGCTACTCACAGCTATGTCAATGAACAGAGTTTGCTTAAACACAGCTGTCAAGACAGTCCTGGCATTCATTCACATACGGTGAGGAAGAAGGGCTTTGTCAAAAGAGAAGGGATCTTGTGGTCGTTTCATAGCAATAGCTTTGGACATAGTCATATCACAGTGCTATTAATAGTTCTTCAGGGAGGCTGTATTTGTTACTTTTCCATTCCTGTGATAAAACACCGTGACCAAGGCAGCCTATAAAAGAAATAATTTTAATTGGGCTTATGGTTTCAGAGGGTGAGAGCCCATAAGGGTGGAGTAAGGGTGTGATGGCAGGAACAGCTGAGAGCTCCCATCTGGAGCCACATGTTCTATACCTCAAAGCCCATCTTCAGGGACACACCTCTTCCAACAAGGCCACACCTTCTAATCCTTCCCAAACAGTTCTACCAACTGGGGACCAAGTATGCAAACCTATGAACCTACTGAGGCCATTCTTAGCCAAACCACCCCAGAGGTGATGCTGTAGGAAATGAAGTCTTAGGGTCTAGAATTTATAACAAAGACATACATCATGTCTTTATTGGTATATGCAAAGAGGATAATGGAACACATGATGGTGCTTATTGGCTCCATGGGTCCAGGGGATATGTGGTCTGTCCTACCGTAGATCAGGTTGGTACTGGCATTCATGCCTGAGAAGAAAAGTCACTGTCTTTTCCCTGGCACAGCTTTAAACAAATGGAGGTGGTCTAGAAACACAGGCCTTGCTCTTGCCTTGCCTATAAATTCCACGGCTACAATGGGTGTGGTGCGGTCAGTCAGAGTGCTGGTCCCTTTCTGGGGTCTAGAGAAGCTGTCCAGGGACTTGGCACCCACGTGGACATTGTGACTAACTCTTAGCAGTGGGCTGCACACAGAAGCGATGCTGGTGCTGAACTGACTATTCCTCCCTTATGACTTCCTTCCCCTCTCTCCAATGACCAAGAGCTGGAGGAGCTGCATGTGGTACCCAGTCCTGATTCCCAGAGAGAGAACAACCTAGAGCTCCCGAGTGTTCACTAGGATGGAGACACCATGTGAGCTGCAGAGAACTGGGAATCCTTTCCTACAGCAGCTGGGGTTATGGGTATGGGTTAGCAAGTCCCCATGGCTCATATACTTCTGTTGCTAGGAGGTGAGGGGCCTTGCACAAGTGGGGCCTCCTGGAAGGAGGGGTGCCACCACCAGAAGGAAAGGAGCTTCTGAAAGACCCTGACTAGTTCTCACTAGAATGAGACATCAAAAGAATAAGCTTGCCTTCAGAATCTTGCTTCTTGTCTTGCCACGTGACTGCTTCCTCTTGCATGCTTTTTGCCCCTGTGATACTTTTAGCCATGAGGCCTGTACCAGGGTGATACCATGTCTCTGAACAAGCTCTAAACTATATGCCGAATAAACCTCTCTTCTTTATGTACTATGCACCCTCAAACACTTTGTGATAGCAACAGAACACAGACTAATATAGTTGCCCAGCACAGAGCGTACCGTTCTCTCTTACACGAGCATTTTTCTGATCTCTTGAGGCACTGAAGACAAGGACAGGCCTGCCAGAAACCTCGAAGGTTTTATGACTTAGCGAAGAAGCAAGCCTACTGTCCAGCATGCCCAGGCGTACCTCCCCGTGCAGACAGTTGCAAGATGACGTTCTTGTTGGATCTCAATCAGCTGGCCAGACCGACACAAGCAGCTACATCTCCCTAAATATGGCAGAGAAACTGCCACATCATGACTTAGTTTGGTAACATCTCTGGGTACTGAGGGTTCATGCAGCCAAGCGGATGACACCATCCCTCCACCCCTCCCCTACCGCTCACTCTTAGGTTAACCGGAGTATAAGTCAAACCACAAATAAACAAATGAAGTCGAGTCTGGCTCTGCTGGATGGGAAGATAAGTTGAGACTGATGAGCAGGGCTGTGACAAGAGTTCCCTTGGGACTCTTATTAAGTCTCCTTGCAGATAGATTATCGCTGGTATTACAATACTGCGGGAAAGCTCCAGTGAACAACAGAGTATTACATTTTCATTTTAGAAAGGTTTGGTGTGGAAGAGGCCAGGGCATTACACAAGGTGCTGAGGGCAGCTCTCCTTTGCAAAGAAGCTTGGCTAAGGACCAGTTCAGGCCTTTTCTTCCTTTTGAGAGCACCCCTCCCTGAGGATGCTGGGGCCTGTAGTTCATTCTTTGATATACATAGTTAGGTACTTGGTGACATACTGTGACCAGCTCCCTCCAGAAGAGAGTAGTCTCTGGAGAGTGCCCAAGTCAATCAGAAAAGACTCCAGGAGAAGTTGAGGGGGTGGGTTGGTGATGAAGAAGAGACAAAGTGTTGCAGAGATGGCTCGGTTGGTAAAGAGCTCACAATACAAGTGGGGGGACCTCAGGTCAGATCCCCAGAACCTATATGAAGCAATAGTATGTGCCTTTAGTCCCAGTACTCCCATGATAAGAAGGGAGGCAGAGACAAGAGAATCCCCAGGAGCCTATGAGCCAGGTAGCCTGTGCTCAGTAGAAAGCCAAGTGATCCTGTTTCAAACAAGGTGGCAAGTAAGGACCAAGACTCAAGGCTGTCCACTGACTTTCAGACATCAATTCCTTAGGGTGCCTCGGTTGGAACCACAAAACTTCACTGTCCTCTGAGATACCAGATAAGGTTTTAATAAAGTTGCTGACCCTGAGGGGTCACTCACACACTTCACAGAGGTCACCCTTACCCCAAAGCCTTGGCATCCTGGCCTTTCTAGTCTAGCTTGATAAAACTCCCAGGGACTTCTGGCATGGCCCTCTGCTCCTCCTCCAACCTGGGGTCTTTTGGCCATCTCCAGTGCCAATAACACTTTCTCAAGTAATTTTTCCTTTTCTTTGGTACCGGGTAGTAACCAGGCATGGCAGGCAAATGCTCCAACTCTGAGCCACTTGACAGAGAGCTCTGATAACATCCCCATCTATGGTACAGTTCTTTGGAGGACAGAGATGGGGCTGAGGGACATTTTCTGCCTGGAGACAGTTTTTCATGATTCATCTTTTTGTGATTTCTCCTGGAAGGGACCATTGACTATTTCATTCTGATGGATTATTCTTGAACCTTCTTTGGGCAGTTAGGGGAAGAAAAGCAATGTGACCCTATCATGCAGTTATTCTGAAAATATTCACACTGAGGAGGTATCAGGCTTATTGAAGACTTTGGGGGCAGAGAAGTGCAACACACACACACACACACACACACACACACACACACACACACAGATGTCAAGGTTTGTTCCAGCAGGCAGAGAGGTAAGGACATCCAGGAACAAAGTATCCCATTACGAAGGAAGATATTGAAGAGAATAAGTAATGGAGATGCACACTGTGCTAAGGGAGAGGGTAGATCCCCCAAGGAGAGCTCACTGTGAAGGGAGAAAATGAGCCACTCCAAAGGGCAAGATGAAAAGAGCGTGGACACATCCTGGAAAGGGCTCGCCATGGGAGCGGGCCACAGTTCTCTTGGTGGATTATCCATCAGTGAAAAGGCAGATGCACACATTTAAAAGCAGCTCCTTCTCCAGAAAAGCACCGCCAGCCAGTCCTTGTCATTTATAGCCAAGGACAAAGTCCTGCTATGGTGAGAAGACACCAGAGTGTCCTTACCCATGGTGCCTTGCCAGTCTGTTTTACAAATACATTCTCTCATCTCTTCAAGCAACAAGGATGATATGGGCCAGCTTGCCAGAAACCCAGAAGGGTTTGCGACGTCGTGAGGAGGCAGGCCTGGTGTCTCGCATGCCCAGGAGTTACCTCCCCATAGAGACATTTAGAGGATAGCAATATAATGTCACAGCATCGACGGAGGCACTTTCCTTTTCCCAACTTTCAGCAGACTACATTTTCCCTAAGCCACTAAGGTGCTCAGTGGATAGTGTTCAGTGCTAAGAAAGCATCAAAACTTAAAGCTGATGGACCCTGACCTCCACTCCCCACACAAAATTTAATAATCTGAAGTTCTTTCAGGTCTCAGAAGAGAAGGGATATTGAACAGAACCAGAATATTAGATTGTTCTCATTACAATACTATTCTGATCTACACATATCAGAATATTTTTTTCACCTCACAGGGCCATTGAGTGCTTAGCACTGAGGACTACTGGTTCATGCAGTCATGAGTTCCTTGATTACTAGTATGAACGACAAGCCAGTGAACCCTGAGACAGGCTTAGAATCTGTTCTCGATGGCACAGCAGGGCCTGTGGTGTGACCACTGATGGAGGCTGTCACTGTGGTTTAGCCATACTAGGGAACCGAAGCTCAGAATGCTCAGCAAGGCCACGTGCGTCCCTGCCTCCTGGCCTGCTGCCTTGGAACTTTCTCTGATGGCAGATGCTGATCTGGAAGCTAGCTTCCCAACTCCCAGTTATTTGCTCACCCACTTGCGAAGCTGTAGTGATATTTCATCTGTATTTTTAATAAATAAAGCTTGTCTGAAGTTCAAAGAGCAAAACAGTTGCACCGACCAGCCGTACAGACCAGACAGTGGTGACACACACCTTTAATCCCAGTGACCACACTAGTTTGCCATATAAACCGGGTGGTAGTGGTGCACGCCTTTAATTCCAGCCCTAGAGACGGGAGGAGACAGCTCTCAGACACAGTCTCATTCTGAGATTCTAGGAGGCAGGATCACCATTTTGGACTGAAATAGAGGTAAGAGCAAGTGGCTGGTTGTTTTGCTTTTCTGACCTTTAGGTTGAACCCCAATTTTGGTCTCTGGGTTGTTATTAATCATGCTATAGGAAGTAGTTTGCAACTGTCCATCCTACTCTAAACGGAGGAGATGACAATTCAGACTTGACCTGAGTACTGCCCCATGTTATTCAGGATGAAGTCTTGAATAACAAGTCCCATTCCT